TCAGTAAAATCTTGTTGATCTTCCTGTCAGATCGTTTTTTGTCAGTTGAAATGTACCTTTTGGCAAAAAGATATTATATTTTATGTTCAACCTTTGAATAAAATGGGGCTTACTAAAATAATATTATTCTTAGTAACACGGAGCTACATACCATTGTAAAATGTATTCAGTGAGCGTGACTAACATTTCCTTTGATAAATTTCTTATGTAAATGTACTTCAAAGCTAGATCAGATAGAGCGCCTGTGACATTTAACGTGGTAAACTGTAATGTTGTTTTATTGCCTTGGTAATCAGAGCCGATCATTGTGCTTCGACGATATCAAGAAAGGACAAGTAGTATTCCTTTTAAATTTTCATGTGGGCTGGGTGCCTTTGCCAAAATTAACACTCTTGACCCCGTAGATGTACTTGAAAATGCCTCTGGAGACCCGGAAAAGTTGACGCCGTAGATGTACTTGAAAATGCCTCTGGAGACCCAGAAAAGTTATTGCCACCAGCTAACCAAGCGATCCTATGTTTAAATTGATGTTTAATACCCGAACTGTACTCGAAGAAGATTTCATACACTTCAACGCGTGGCGGGGTTTAGACAAGAGCGAATTTGTGAAGTGACGGATAACGCAAAGGTATTCAGTTGCATGCTGTGCGGCAATTGTCACTCCGAATCTCTTTTGCATCAAGTCGGGTCAGGCCAACGGAAGTAAAGCGTACATTTTATCTTATCAGTCTGCACGACTAAACTTGAGCGGTTAAGATTCAATATTCCCCTCCAGGGAAATACGTGACACATTTTCACGTGCCATATCACAAATTGCGTCTAACTGCTGGTTATATAATTAACAAAGCAAACTAAAACCAACTGCAGGAATGCCATCTGTAGGAAAGTGAAGTTTTCGGTGGCATCTGAAACCGCATGTTTTTGAGAGAGTCGACTATAAAGTGCAGACAGCTCCATGTGTTACATTTGTGATGCATGTCTGACTAATTTGTGACTAAGGATCAACAGGCCGATTCGCTTTATGTGATAAATAAAGAATAATACATTCTGAAAGACTTGGGCACGCGTACATATTGGATTTCTCTTCGAGTGCTCAACTCGATAGCTCACGAGTTAGCGTAGCGAACGAGTGACGTATCGGTTTTATTACGATTAGTTATTACTTACTACAATCACTTATTACTCACTACAATCACTCATTACTTACTACCTAGAAATGCCGACATTATTTTAAATGAATGAGACAAATTAGGATTTGCAACCCGCGACGTAAAGTGCGTCGGCAGTAAGGCTGAAGGTCCAAGCACGTAACTTTGGTTTTTCTTTTAGTATTTTGGTTTTCTTCCGCCTCTAAGAAATCTTGATCTTCAGTGTCTGTCAGCGATACGAGTTTTTAAGTGTTTTTAGCAGCCATAATCCGACAAAAGTCTCCCCAAACGATCTTGGATTGAGAACGATGAACGCTTTGCCATTCATTTATCAACCTGACAGAGTAACGTGAAAGGCGAGTGACATGTCAGGAGCTGATTGGCGATATGAAACTTGCGTAAACATTAAAGTTATTTTTAAACGATCATCAGCCTTATTAACCTATTTCCAAGAATAAGTCTTTTCAGTTTGACTAGCTCTTTATTACATGAACAGGAACAGTCCGGTGGGAGTGGAGGGGGAATACGGCAGGCGTTGTCAAAAGATGCCCACAAATAATTCTTATGTGTTCTTCTAGGTTCTTTCTACTCTATCAGAGGCAAAAATCGAAGACGAACGCAAAAGAAGCCTACTGCTGGATGAATTTCGCAAAGCCCAAGATTTTTTGAGTCAACTGAATGAGAATCGCTCATTGCCTTTGCTGCGGGTGAATATAACCGAAATTTTAGAGGAAATGAAGCAACATATCAGCCAACTCGAACAGAAGGAATACTATATTCTTGTTGCAGGTAAGTGATGATGGAGAATTTACTCAAAACAACCACATTAGATTTTTTTCCTGGCCTCCAGGCTTATGAAATTCCGCAACTGACAGAGGATTGGCCCATTTCAGAGAGGTTTATAGTATTGTTTCATCTTGGTCAGAAGGAAACTAGCATACCACGCTTGGTGGAAGGCACAAGGATATTAAGCTTGTCCTGTTTCTTTCTTCTTTAATATAACAGACTCTGACAGGACATTGCCAGAGTCAGCTAGAATCAGTCCGAGAGTGGTCAAAGAGAAGAGAAGCGAGAAAATTAAAGTTTTTGCAAGTAGAAAAGTTCTACTAAAAGCAAATATTCTTCTCTCAGTTTTCTTTGACCACTCTCTAACTGACTCTTATTAACTCTGATTCTCTAACTCTGATCTACCAACTGCTATTTCTATAGTACTTTCTTTAATATTAACTATCGATAGGCATGAGTGGAGGTGCCGGCCAACTGACCTTGAAGGATATTAAAAAGCACTTTCACGAGACTCTCTCGAATAAACAAAACTGTAACTCATGCTTCCAGTCACACAAACAGTTTTAGAAAGTACATCTGGATGAAAGTGTTTTTTGTTTATTTTTGTTTTTGTTTTTGTCTTGTTGTTTTAGGCGAGGCAAGTGCTGGAAAAAGCAGCCTGATAAATCTCATTCTGGGAGAGAGGCTTCTTCCATCTTCCTCACTGAGCACAACTTCCACGCTATGTGAATTGAAGTACGGCGAGGAAAGAAAAATTGTGGCGCACCTCAAAGACACAGATTCGAAAACAGGCCTAACATCGACCATATTTCTTGAGAATCCAACAGAATCTTCAGGGAAAAGCTATCTCCAGCAGATCTCACCTTTTGTCCACGTGAAGGGTGCAGACCGTGGGAAAGGTACAATTTACAAAAAGGTTGAAATCTTCTGGCCTCATCAATTGTTGAAGGTAAGTATTCAGTTAACCGTTAAATGTCTTCTGTAAATCGAAACATTAGGGAAATACTTGAAAGTATGTAATACCCTCCTTTGCCTAGGAACGTCAACTGAGCTAGCCACTAGTGTTGTCTCACAGTTCTTTCCCGTATAAAGTATTCCATAGGTTGATATGGAAAGTTGAACCCCCATCAGTAATCAAGATTTTGGTTTCTCCAATCAGCTATCATGAACATCGAGACCAAACTTGGAGGTTGTTGATTGACAACCTCGTTAGATGAGATGAACTGGCATACATGAACGGGCTGACATTCACTGCAGGATTAAAACTAATAAACTCAGCAAAAATGAAAATGCCATGGATCCATATCCAGTCCTACTGTAAATGTCAACCATTTTGAGTGAATAAAAAAATAGGTTCAATCTCCAATAGCAGTTGATAGTTTTCTAGACCTAGATTATACCAAAGAGAACAATTCGAACAATCTAGATGATTGTCTATTGTAGATAATTATTCAGCGTTAATTTCTGTGTTTTAGAAAGGTGTCACTATCATTGATAGTCCTGGTGTTGGAGAATCGGAAGTCATGGACGAAGTAGTGACAGAGTATCTTCCTCAAGCCTTTGGATTTATTTATGTCATCAACAGCGCAAACGCTGGAGGGGTTCAGAAAGACAGGGTAAGTAGCTAGCGCAAAGTGGATAGCAGTGAAATAAAAATTTTAGAAAAGAAAAAATAGTATTACAAAGGACGAATCAAAGTGATGATTAAACTTTTAAAGTTGACTATTTTTTTAAGTACTTTGTAGCCATTTTGTGTTAATTGACAACTTTTTGATTAATACAAAGCTTGTATCTTTGCTGAGCGAACTGGGCAAGATATCGCGTGAAAGACAAGAAGAGTTTCCCTCCAAATGTGCTTTGTTCGTATGCAACAAATGGGACCAGATTCCAGAGGACGAAGCCGACGATGTTAAGGCACACATAAAGACCAAGTTAAAAGAGTGGTGGCCTGATCTCATTCCTGAATCCCAGATCACCTACATATCTGTAAAAAATGCTCTCGGTGCTCAGAGCCGTGGAAAGATTAAAACCGACTTCATCACCCTGATGAATGGGATCCGTATTTTTGTTCTAAAATGCATTGAGCAAAGGTTG